GGCCCCATCTCACTTCCCAAAAAAACGATGGCCGCTACAGAGGTGTCAGGGAAGAGGCTCAGATGATAAAGTTCTGTAATGAAAATCAGAAGCTCATGTGGTTCCGTCCCTTGGTTAGAACCCCTAGCGCACGCAATAGCGTGCTTAGCCGCCTTGTTTAGAAAAAAGTAATTATCCTCGTGCACATATTGTAGGTTCACTTTTCAGTCTTCCCAAGAATAACAACGCAGCGGCGATTCGTCCGGTATCTAAATATTTCCCTGTATCACGCCAGACAACTGGGACACCTTCTTCTAAACTTACTCCTGAAAAACATGCTCAACTAGTACACTCTACTCCTGTCGCACCGATTCCGAAGGATCGGTCAGTAGTCGGTGTGAACGAAAACGACAAATTGGTGAGTATTTTAAAAGAAATTGTGTTTAATCTAGCTGCTGAGCATCCAGCGGCACTGAAAACAACAGCAGTGAGTGGTTGATCTTAGTCTAGGCTTTTGTACCTGGTGGGAAAACTAGTCAGATTGTCTAAGCTGATCTGTTCTTCGTATTGTTGACCAGCCATGGAAATTTCCGCTAATAGGCAATGCTTTCTAGGCATTGGCTCCTGGCATGAAAGAGTGCCATTGAGCTGCCCATGTGCATGTGTTGGATAACAGAGAAAGATTAGAAACATTCTTCAGGATAATAGTACCAGTAAACGTCGCTTCAGTCGTCTAGAAATAACGAAAAGGAAAACCGTTGAAGTTGCTCAACCCTTGAATATGTATCGTTTTTCGATTCTAATTTGTGTGAAACAGGAGCTCTTTTAAGGTAAACATAAAGATTCATAGCAAGTCTGACTCTAGATGCGGTCAGGAGTCGAAATATACGGAGAGGTCGTGTCATGGTGAGGCTGGTGTGTTGTCGAAAGCTTTTTATCAGGCGGTTCCTCAACATTAAACCTTCTCTTGTAGTGCCAGCACAGCCTGATGAGAAACTTAGACAGCTTGCCGTGGTGAGAAGACTGCGCGATGGCACACCTGATCACAGCCTGTCACAAACAAAACAAGCAAGGGTGTCATTGTTGGAGAAACTCCGAAGTAGTGATATCACTCCGCCGGTTGAAAGCTTCCGGTTACGACCAACTACGGAAACTCGGTGTAAGTATTATTTCTAGATTCAAGATATGTGGATTTTTCACCCGAAATTCAAGATTCGTTTCTTTTGAATGAGTTTGACTTCGTCTTCCGCTTGCCTCCCGTAATCTTCAACTTGCCTCCCGTGTTGAAAGAAGATTTTCGAGTCTACGCGCAAAGACTTGATTGACTTAGCGTTTAGCGGTTACTACATCAGAGTTACATAAGAACCTGCTCCAGCCTAATCATGATGCAGAAACGTTTGTAAACAAAGCAGAAAAATTAATTTTTTTAGCTGATGTGCCATTGGGTGATCCTCTCGCCGTTCAAGTCAGACAAGAGAAAACTTCCTCATTTCCACATAAAGTTATCACATCTAGTCGTCATTCTAGGACAGATTTGGATGCAAATTTTTCAACAACGGATCAAGTTAACACGGTAAAACTTCGTTAATTGCCAGTGCTTGAAGGAGATGGAGCTTTCATCACTTATGTTACTTCCAACAGCGCTTCCAGGTCAGTACACAGGAAATGTTAAACCTACCATGTGGAGAGACCATTCCTTTGCAGGATCCTGATTTTCTATCCAGCATTGAGGAGTCTTTCTCGAAAGACACTAGCACTAATGTAATTTTTGTTTGGTTCCCTCTCTCTATTTTTATCTGGTTGTTTTCATTTATTTGATGACCATATTTTCTCATTTTTTTATATCTCCTTTTTCTTCATTTTATACCCTACTCTCATAGTCTCACTTGCTTTTGTCGCTGTCGGGAGTTGTCATCTCCTGCTTTGTAGCTGCGTCCTTCTCTAGACTTGGAAATGACCAGTTGATCATCTGGAGATAGCCGGGAATGCTCCACCACCTCTTTCTGTATTTTCGTTTATGTTGATTTCTCGCAGCGTCCTGACTGATTAATCGTTTGTCTTTATGTAGCGATTTTGGTAAGATGAGGTTGTAACGTGGGTTTATGATTTGATCCGAAGCTAAGTCGTGTATAGGCCTTAAAAATCGAGAGGTTTTGGGGGCGGGGGGTGGACTGCCATGATCGGGACCTTGCAGATGATTGATTTCAAGTTCCACCTATCGTATCATTCCTCTTAACGAACCTTGTCTACGCTAGGTGTTAACCTATAATATTTTCTAACGAATCTTTAACGAAGTTATCGGAGTTTAGGGACACCAATCTCCTGTTCGAAGTCACTTTTCAACAGAACCTCTTCCGACGGCCGTTGTGCCTTACAAGCGAAAGCGCAACGACGAACCAGTGGGAAATACTAGTAGTTCCGTTGTTTCCTGGCCGGTAAGAATCGTGTTTTCTTTCATCAGCTTGCGAGTAGGGGATCATCATGTGTGACTTCAATCTTTGCAGATGTCGAAATCTCCTCAAACTCAGAAGTCGGTCATGGAAAAGTTTACTGAATTGAAGATTGTTCGTGTAGGAGAAGCTCTTTCTCAGAGAAAGTTTTGGATGTTACCAAAAAGAGTTAACGTGATGGTAAGGCCTTGGTTCTGTTCACTAGCTTGTAAGATCCGCTCCAAAAGACAAGAGAGAACAGCGCGGTGTCCTGCTGACTAACGAAGGCTTTTAGTTATTTGTTATTTATTAGATGTGTGCATTAATGTCCGCCGCCGAATTCCAAGGCCGTTGCGCGAACCATGTTAGAGGTTTACCGGTGAAACCTGTCATGTTCTGTATGGTAGGGTATTGGCTACCTACTTAAGGGCAGACAGATCAGTTTTGCCCCAAAATCCTGTTGCTCTCAGACTGATTGGTCATGGAACGTGATGAACCGTTTCCCCGTGGGGCCGTTCCCCTGCTGTTTGATTTCAAGGAAACTGGCAATGAAGCCCACAGGATGCTTCTATGAAGCACAAGCTTCATCTGAACAAACCTGCTGAGATGGTATCTCTTCACTCGAGACCTTGCAACGAAGGCGGAATGTTTATTGCCAAAAAGCAATGCTGCATTTGGTGGTGGGATCAGTACTATGAGTGAGCTATGAGCTTTGAAATATGAGCTGCTGAGCCCGAACGAAACTGTTTCTGCTGGCCGCTACGAACATCAACTTGACAGTTTGTAGGATGCTCTCACCTAAAAGCTCACCTTAATCGCACCACGAACATGCCAGACCCCATGTTGCGAAGAATGTCCTTTAAAAAAAATTGCAATTGTTGGATGGGATCAGCTTGTTCAGCCCGCATACTCTCCGGATCTTGCTCATTCTGATTACCACCTATTCCGGTCCATGCAAGTCAGTTCGGCAGATATACGCTTCCGGAATGCTGAAGAACTGCGAAAATGGGTGGATAACAGGATTGCCTCAAAAGATGAAGACTTTTTTAGACTCGGAGTCAACAAGATACCAGAAAGATCGCAAGGAGTTGTAGCTAACGATGGGCAATACATTGGTTAATGTACATTTGGTTTGAATTTTGTAATAAGTATGTTTTTGCACGCGAAAAACGGCGGAAATTAATGCACACACCTAATATTGCTAACAAGAGTTGGGTCTCTAACAAGGTTTAGGTCATTCACAGCAGTATCCGTCACGGCTAAACGTATCACTGATGCCAACCTGCTGGTGGAAGTCCCTTTCCTTTTCCCAATTAGTTTCTTCAAAATACATCCCCACGCTTAACCTCCCACGATATACAGAAAAGATTCCGCCTCAGTAGAGAGGGGAGTCAGAAGCTCTAAAATCTATTAAGTTTTTACATTTCACGACAAGCCAGAAGTGAACTTCCTGAATTTCTTCTCCTTTTTTTTCTTACTGTAGCATAATTCCTTCTCGAGGAAATAAATGTGTCATTCAATGCAATTTCCATGTAAAACCCTTTTCTCTGGTTGTGACGGGAAAAGGATAGGGTGACATTTCACCGGCAAACAACATGCTCTCCGTATTCACGTTTTCAGAGGAAATGCTTTGTTGTGAGGCTTTTGCGGAGGGATCGCCTAAGAAGGCTATGAACTTTTTTTTTCAAAGCGAAGATTGTGGAGTGACATAAGGCGGAATAGCAAGAGGAACTGAGAGGGAGTAAAAAATCTGGCTACCGATAGTAATCGAGAGATGACATCGCAACAAAGGGGATTTTTCAAAATCTTCAAATTGTAAATGCAGTACATATGCGACTGAGCGTATTTTTTTTAGGGTTTTTGCCATATCAAAGGTGAGCTGGCTGCAAAGCATGGATCGTGGTTGCTCAATATAGATCTCACTGACGAGTCGGTTGACTCCCAAACTTGTGAAGTTGATTCTCAGCTCCTCGAGAAGTTACTCGGATTTTCTGTAAAACATTGTGAGGTGGGGATTGTTCTACTAGAACCTGCGAACAGATTAGGAGAGCGGTTTATCAAAAATGTAGACGCAGCCGACACAGATGCCAACTAAGAGACATTAATTATGTAGAGTGTGCCCTCGGCTTAATTAATCTCCACCTTTGCGTTTTTTGTTTTTGTACTTTTTTAGCACCTGACAGGCTAGTGACAATATTCGATACATTGATAATGCAAATGCTGAACGTGCTTTCAAACTGCGTGATATTTGCCGGTTTTCTCCAACCTGCCCAAAAAGTTGAGTCCACGATTTTGAGCGGCTAGACTGTATTCCACTTAGACATGCAAATATTGTTTGTTACTGAATCTTTCTTCTTTCTTTTTTTCAAATTCATATTTGGTATCTTTACATTCATTTTGTTTTCAATATTGACAAATGATAGGGCGTATTCATATGTAGTAATTGCATTTTTGCGAAGATGTATGCATAGAAACGCAGATGTCTTTACGAATATATCCGCGTAAAAACTCACGTACTTTAAGAGTGCCCATAATATCTTGATGTGAAACTCTGGCTTTGAAAAAGATTAGCTTCAGTGATTGAGCTCTTTTCAGAAGATGAACTTCCTAAAGAACACACATGAGCTATCACGTTGTAAAGAAAGAGCGTTAGAGGTGAGTAGCCAATTCGTGAAGCCATCCTTATCAATCGTCAATCGAAGCCTTCCTCATTTTCAGGTGATGAAAAGTTTTCAACGTCTGGATTTGGTCCTAACATTGGAAATACATCCTCAGAAGGATAAGTTACCAGTAGTAGTAGATGTGCGCACATTAGCTGAAGCTTTTGATGCGTATTAGTACAGAATTCTTTAAGATGCGCCATGGGTGACTATTTTTTTTTNTTTTTTTTTCACTGTGCCATTTGTCTGTACCATATTGTTAGATTTTTAATAGATTTTTATGGGTGCTGTTTCAAGTATTACCTCATATATTACGGATGAAAAAGTGATGACAGCAAAAAATTGTTAAGATTGAACATTTATCCTAGTTAATCCATCCCGCTTGGTCGTTCTTTAAGATTTTCGAAATTTCTATGTGAAAAATAAAAAATCAAGCGCTTGGTTTACAGTCGTAAGGGCGTCCAGCGTCAACCAACTACTGTATGTCTATCTATATATTCCCTATTTCAGACGGTGCAAAGGTTGACTTGCCTTCCCATGTTGGAGTGCGACATTTCATTTTACCCCGTTCAATACTCTCTTGAAACTGTCTAAATGTAAGGTGGGTTATGACAATAAAATGAGAGCCTCCCACCCTGGAGCGCTATTACATGCGCCATCGATTCGTTGACTGCTCAATTTACTCATGTAGTATAGCATGTGGCATACCATACGATTCAGAGGCCTTTTTTAATATAAACAAATTATCACAGTTTGTCATTGATAGAGAGTATAAGTTTTCCTCGCGCTCCTCTAGCCGTCATAACGTCTTTGTGGGCTGTAACAATGTCGTCCAATTTGTATACTCGGTCAATAATGGGTCGAAAATGGGAAGAGTCAAAAAGCTTGTGGATATGTAACGATGACTCCTCCCAATCAGCCGGTGTTGTATTTGCTAGCGCTAACCCTGAAATAAACTTCGATTTAAACTTCTCGAAGTCTTTTAAGACTTGAAAGCTTATCTTTCTTCAAATTGGCCTCATTACCGAATACAGAAGTTTCTTTCATCATGAACGCCCTCGGATCGATTTTGATGTCACCGCGACTTCCAACAACGGCAACTTTTCCCTTCCGGGCGAGAAGGTCCAAGTCATGTCTCAGGTTAAGATGGGCTGCCATTTCGACAATCAGATCGAAACCTAAAAAACGAATAAAACATCATGGGACGCGCTAAGAGCTTTTGTTGAGTGATCAGGGATTTTCCGCATAAACATCTTCCTTTTTCCCACTCCCCACAATGTAGAAGACCATGGTATGCACTTTTCCAATTTTTGGGTATACTTCATCACCACCACCGAATCAGGTCCTGTCGTTTGAAGATTTTTCGACAACCTGTCAAACCCATCGATCATCCATCGTTCTAATTTGCACAACGCCCATACATTTACACAATGAAAAACAGTACTGCAATGGCTGCCATATGGCTGCGTGGGCGCACATTGATACACAACCAACTTTCGGAAAACTACGGCCAAAGATACTTCCGTACTTAACTTTTAGGGGCTCCAAACCGACATTTCAATTATTTCATGGAAAACTGCTGGCTGCGAGCATACAGCAATGACACTTTTCTGAATAAATTGCCATCATTCTTTATGCAAATCTTCATGTGCTTGTGCTAAGGCTAACTGTCGAGAATGGGTCCGGGAACTTCTCCCCTAACACGGCGTCACACACGCCGCACCAGCCGCCTATCGCAGGATTGCGATGGAAGATTGGAGCGCGCAATTCATGAGGTAGGGAGTCCTTTAATTATTTGAATTGGCTGGCCG